GTGCGGACTGGCTTACTTCAGTCAGCTCCTCAAGTTTCCTGGTGTACCTTCCAAAAGGATGTCTTGGCTTTGTAAGACTGAGCCTGAGTCTCCAGTAGGCATATGCCACATCCTCTTTATCTTTCATTGCTTAGTGGACTTTTTGGTTTTTCTCTTTAAAGACTGGGTTTCTCTGTGTAACAGCCCTGGCTGTCCTGGAACTCACTTTGTAGACCAGGCTGGTCTTGAACTCACAGAGACCCTTCTGCTTCTGCCTCCCGAGTGCTGGGATTAAAGCATGCAGGGCCACTGCGGTGTGCTTGCCACTGCCCACTGCCAGTACCACCGCCAGGCTGCCTGGTGGACCTTTTTGGTCGTCAGCAGCACTGGAGTGGGAAGTGTGCAAGCTCACTTGAGATCCTCTGTCAGTTCTCTTGGCTATACACTCAAAAGCAGCACTGTGGGTTATGTAGGAATTTTTAATTTTTGTTTTGTTTTTTTTTTTGTTTGGATTCAGGATCTCTCTTTGTCACCCTGGTTGGCCTGGAACTCTTGATTTGTAGGCAAGAGTGATCTTGAACTTGCTAAGGTCTGCCTTCCTCTGCCTCTCAAACACTGGGACCAAAGGTCCGCTTGGCTTGTTTTTAAAGGAATCTGCACAGTTCCCCTAATGGCTCCACCATCTGAGATTCCCGCCACCACACACAAGGTTCTGATTTCTTCACCTCCTTGCCAGCACTTGCCACTCTATCACTGTATTGTTTGGAGAGTGGCTATCCTCACAGGTGTGCTGATGGCTGATGTGGCGTCATTTCCTGGGCTTGCTGGCCGTTTGTGTATCTTTGGAGAAATGCCCATTCAAGTCCTTTGTAAATTGGGTTATTTGTTCTTTTTGTTTGTTTCTGGGTTATAGTTTAAAACATCTCTTCTGGATATTAGGCCCCTCTGAATCTGTGCTGAGCTTATTTTTGTATATGAAGGGAGGATCCAGCCCAGCTAGCCTTCATGGAATCCAGCAGTGAGGTCAGCCAGACACAGCCAGCAGAGGGCCTGCCAGCTGAACTCAGACTTGGAAAATTTAAACCATTCTCACTGCAAAGCACAGGGGTGATAGAGGTGCATTGAGGGGGGGGGGGGTCACATACAGCCCTCGTGTCTAGTCTAGGTTGGAGGCCGGCGGTTACTGCGTGGAGGAGATAAAACTGTGGAGGTGCTGAGTACATACAACAGGAGCACGGCCAGCATCCCTACTGCCACCATTTAATCTGTTTCTTCGTCCATAAAATAGGTGTTAGCTATTAACCCTGGTCCCGAATGAATTAAAAATAGAACAAGCAGCTGGGCATGCATATGACTGCAATCTGAGCACTCTGGAGGTGCAGGCAAGGGGGTCTGAAATTCAAGACCAGCAAGGGCTATTTGAGACTCTCAAAAAATGGACACAGACTAGAGATGGTTCAGTGAGGAAAGGCATCCGATGCCAAGCCTGACGACCTGAGTTCATAGTGTGGAGAGAACCAACTCCTGCCAGCTGTTCCCTGGCCTCTACACACTACATGGCACGCCCACGCCCACACACGGGCACACCAATAAAAATGCAATCTAAAGGCTGCTTCATTTTTCACTCTTCAGGTTGGTTCCCGGCCGTGGAAAAGGCCAACCTGACCCCTTTTTCCTTTAGTACTATAGCAGCCTGACACCTTTCCCGCTGATCAGATTCCCAGACACCACAAAGTTCAAAATAAGTCCGCTAATACTGGGGCAGGGACCAGATGCAACTCACAACCTTTCAGAGAGTAGCCACACTTTCAGACATCTTAGATTGCCTTCCACACTGTGGCTAGCATAGTTTAGTCTCTCCCTGACTTTTCTACTTAATGGTATATTTGTTCTCCCCACTATTTTTTTTTTTTTTTTAGGAAGGAAAAGAGTCTCATGAAGCCCAGACTGGCCTAGAACTTCTGATTCTCTTGCCTGCTTCCGCCCCCAGTGCCAGGATCACAGGTGTGTACCACCATTCCTGGCTTGGTGTGTACTTACCAACATACTTGAAGTGGGAAAGAAGGGCTCCCAGGAGAACCAGAATCAAGAGATTAATCGACTTGACTTTCTCGGGAGACCCAGAGAAGGCAGAATCCTCTGAAGGTATCACCCCCAGCTGCTGCAGGCTATGGGAGTCTTTCCCTGAATGTGACCCTGCAGTGGCAGACAGTGAGGGCTGCCTATGGGGCTTCTGGGCAGAAAGAACTCAGCTTGGCTGACATCAGGAGCCAGTTCTGCTCAGGTGGGTTCCTTTAGGGAAAGGCGCACGTGACGGGGAGACGGGAAAGCCTGCCGACCACGAACCTGTCGGCACGCACCTGAGCCCACTGTTTCAAGCTCTAAACAGCCGACTGTTTTTCCCGGGTCTGTAGACCGACCAGACCGCTCTCCTTTGGGTCATCGTATTCTCCAAGGCACAGCGTCACCCTGTAACCTGTACGATGTAAGTGGGCTCAGAGTTTGTGCTGTTGCACACTTAAGTGCCATGCTAGTGCCCAAGAACCCCTGTAAAGCCAGCCTGAGGAGTGTTTGTGATCCCACGCTGCTACAGTGAGACAGGAGACACCTGGAAGCTTTGTGGGCATGGTGTGCGCAGGCGCTAACAAACTTCTCAAACATGGTAGATGAGGACCAATACCCACAGTTGCTGACCTCCAGACATGCACTGTGACATGTCTACCTGCACTATCCACACGTAAGAACATACACACACACACAAACACACCAAGAAGAAACCTCCAATACTTCAAAACTTTTATTTATGGGGGAGGATTGAGACAAGGACTCCCTTTGTAGCTTTGGTTGGCCTTAAACTCATTTTGTAGACTGGGTGGGCACTGAACTCAAAGATTGGCTTGCCTCTGCCTCCTTGTGCTGGGCTTAAAGTCATGCACCACCATGCCCGACTTAAAAAAAAATGAAAAACAGAAGTCGTGCTTACAGTGACACCAGAGGTAGCTCATAAACCTGGAACTTGGAACAAGAACCAGGGCTGATCAGGGTGGAAAGGGAAGTCGCAGTACCCCACTACCAGGCAACTGCCAAGCAGCACAGGCCAAATGCTGGGCCTAGGCCTAGTTTACCCAGGAATGTGGTCAACTGCTGACCCTCTCACCCACCCAGGCAGTTAAGCTGAGTTGCAGTGGGTCCCTATCCTTCCCAGACCTGTCCTATTCTTCCCGAGCGAGCCCCAGGTGCGTTTTTGCCAGCTCCCCACTCTTGCTCTTGGGTACCTACCCCTCCTGCCACATCCTCCGTACAGCCGTTAGGGAGAGGTGCCCCAGCTTTGGGGCTCCACGTGGTGCTCTGCCTTCTTGATGCCTCTCCAGGACAGCAGTCCCTCCCTCACTTGAGCAAGTCCAGTCCTGCTCCGTGATGATCCTCCTTATTAGCAGAGCAGGAATTCTGGATGACTGGCAAGCTGGGTCCCTGGACTGGCTCTGTGTCCTCATCTGTTGTGAGCCAGCGCTTCAACTCTACCTGGCCCACAGTGACCCCCATGTACCCAGCTTCTGTGAGCTCTGTGCTGTAGATAAAGCAAGCATGAACTGAAAAAATATTTATCACAGGGCTGGAAAGATGGCTCTGTGGTTAAGAGCATGGGCTGCTCTTGCTCGGACCTGAGTTCAGTTCTCAGCACTCATAACAAAACTGGTAGTTTGAGAGTCTCACTGTGCAGCCCATGCTGCCTGTGAACTCCTAAGAGATCCGCCTGCCTCTGCCTCCCAACTGCTAAGATTAAAGATGCGCCACCATGCCCAGCCTACACGTATATTTTAAACACAGCCTACTTTCTAAGTTATACTCTTTGACCTCTGTAATTTCAAAAGCCACAAAATGACATATATAGCTACAATGTTAAGATCCTTGAGGCCCATCTCCTGCCCATTCTCTCCATGCCCAGGCTGGTTCAAACATGTTAAGACCTCTGATTGCCATCTCTATTTAATAAACCCAGCTGTTTCATATGAACTTATCCTGAAATTATTTTCTGTCCAGCAGTCAAGACGCTGGTTCCACCTGAGTGGAGGTCTAGAGGCAGCAAACTCCTCATGTTCCAGGGGCCAGGATCAGGCTGCCAGACTGGCCACGAGGGAGGCCGTGGGCCCATATCCATCTGCTGAGCTTCCTCCCATGCCTTCCAGTACTGCAACAGACACAATGGCGTCTTCAGTGGGGGCTGTGAGTTGTAGCTTCCAGAGACAATGTACCTGTGGACTGAAGAGGGCCTTATTTGGGTCCATAGAGGTGTAATATAGGTCCAATAGTTCAAATTTAGTCAAGTTAACTTCATTAGGTTATCCTATATATTTGTCAGTGTGGAGGCCCCAGGTAACAAGACCACACTGAGGAGAGAAGTGTAGAACCCCCAAGTCTGCACTTGACAGTGGCCCTGTGGGCCCAGCAGGCAGGTAAACTTGTCACCTGTCCACCCCAGAGCTCCCACAGCACAGGGTCTGCGTGGGGAGGATATATGGGCCAAGATACCCGGCCTGGTGACCAGTGAGCTCTTCTATCCTGACATTTCAAAAGGGTAGAAACCTTGGGTCCTGGAGCACACAACCCTAAGCTGCCACGATGATCCATGGCATAGCACAATTCATCTTGCCAGAGAAAGCAGTTTAAGTAGGGGCACCTGAGCACCCTGGAAAGCCCTCACTGAGAGAGAACACTGCTGCAGAAGGACAGTTTTCAATCACAGTCCTGAGGCTGGAACTGGTGGGGGGGGGGGGGGACTGTTAACATGGGAGTTTGTGAGGCACATCTCTAGGAAAAGCAGGCCAGGGCTGACTGCAGCCAGACCCTGCTATTCTCTTCCTCTAGGGGGCAGCACTAACCACCTCAGTTATTACACACCATAAAGAGACTTTTTCCTAAGAGAAATGTCACCCTGAAGCCAGAACACAAGCCTGCCTTTCTTCCTCCACCTCCTCCATTCCCATCCCCATTTCATGTTCCCCCACAGAAATTCACTCAAGTCAGGAACAAAAAGCCAACTATTTATTTACACTGTGGTCTGTACATTACAGTTCCTTGGAAGGTGCCCACGCTGAAAGCCTGTTTCAGGACAGAACAGGCTGGAGGCAAACAGTTCAGGGCCTGGGATTCACCCCTCTCCCCTCCCTGGGGTCTAAAGTGGAAGTTCCTTTCCAACCCCAATTGCTAAAGCCATTTGCAATTACTGGCTTCTGGGGCAAAGCCCCAGATGGAATTCCTGGAAAATCAGAACCTATCGCTGGTAGCTTCTTCCACCTGGGCCCCAGCAGGCCCAGCCCCAGAGCGCGAAGAGCTGAAGTTGGGAGCCAGCAGGCTGTGTGTCCTCGGCACACGCTGTCCTGTCCTGTCCAGGTCCTGACATCAGTCTGGTGAGTAAAGGCACTCTGGTCTGAGCACCAGCAGACAAGGGAGGGCTAGGCAGGTGATAAGAGTAGGCAGGGACAGTAGCAAGTGACTTCCTTCAGCACACACGGGGATTGGGGGAGACACCAGACACAGTGGCCCTAAACCCAAATGTATTGCAGAGCACTGGAAACCACATGGCTGGGGCTTCCTCCAGAAGAGCCATGCATGGGGTCTGGCAGACCTGTAACCCCCTGCTGGGGCCAGTGCCGGGTTAAAGGTGATCTGTCTTCTATAAATAGCCACACCCACACAGACGAGGCTTGTGGAAGAAGCTGGCCTACACAAAGCTACCCTTGTCTGGGACGCAGAGCTTCTAAACTAGCTGCAGGTACACAGGGACTAAGTGTTCCCTGTGCTTAAGACTGTAACAAAAGATTCTGTACAAAAGTTACCAAGTCAACAGAGGCTGGGGGACCTATGGGGAAGCAGGGTCTGCCAACCGGCCTCAGTGGAGGCACATGGCTGCACACATGAGTACACACAGGACTGGGGAGATGGGTAAGGGGGTGTACAAAAGGGGGCAGTGGATAACAGAATACTGTGTGGTCCACAAGGGAAAAAAGGCACAAGGACCCCAAACCATGCAGACAAAACCCAGCCTGTGCAGAACAGGAAAGCAGATGGCCCCAGCAAGAGGCAGGGCCATCAGAGAGGTGGCATGGGATGTTGCCCCCCTCAAGCTGGTACCTCTGGGGTAGACATCCCTACATTACAGTCACGATGGGAAGAGCAGCCCACAAGGACAGTACATCAAAGATACCCAGCTCCTGGTGAATAGGGTGACAAGGGCTGTCACCCTGCTATGCTTTCAGAAACAAAGCCTTCTAGAAGTGGCTGTTTTCTTAGCTGGGCAGCTGAGACAGCAGAGCCACAAGCTGTCCTGCCCTGAAGGTAGGGCAGGCTGGCCCCACCTTCCCCAACATACCCATCACATGCACAGTCAAGTCAAGACAGGAGGCAGGACAGGGAGGTCCTGTCAAGATTTGGCCACTCTTAACTTGAGGCCCCTTGGTGAACACGTTAGTGTACCAACCCGAGGAGCCGCCAGAGGCAAGTCCTTGGACCCCAGTGACGGTAGAAGGAAAGACTGGGAAGAAGGGGCAGCGTTGAAGCCCTAAGGAGCTTCACTTAACTTCTACAGAGTCACTGGGTATCTGTCGGGCTGGCCTGGTGACTACCCTAAACCTTTCCCAGGTCCCATCAGCCATGTCTACGTAAGTGGAAATTTGCCAATGCCTCACGGAGTAATTCCCCCTGCTTCCGGGGGCCTTGCTGAAGAGCCTGCAGATCCCCTACAGAGCCCAGTGTGTAACAACATCCCCTGGACCACTGGAGCCAGCACGATCACAGACTACCCATAGGAGCATCACCCAGAGCCTCCACGGCGTGAACTGCGTGATTTGACACTGACAGAAGCAACTGGGACACCCTCACTGCAGACAGAACATGGACAAAGCCACAGAGGCAAGAGGCCACTGCACCTGACGCTGCTGTCCGGGCCCAGTTCTCACCTCATTACCTGCCCCCACTTTGCAATGGGCTCGACAGCTGGCACCTGTTTCCTGCGATTCTGGGTATCCCAGGCAGGGAGCCACTAGGGGATACAGATGTCCAGGCTAGTGAGAGCAGCTGGATTCTCTCCTGGGGCATAATTACCCAAAGCCATCCACCTTCCATCACCTCAGTCTAAGACAAGCTTCTCAAACAGCCCTGCTCGAGCTTGCAGACATTCACGTGGTTTCTCTACTTGAGCCGCACATGAACAGCACGGGATGAGCGATGCACATACAGGTGCTGGGCCACACATGCTACCCAGGCCGCCAGCCACAGAGGGACTCGGGGTGGGTCCTATCATCAGCTCCTGTCACGCAGCCAGAGACGAAGCCCCACACCAGGCACTCTGCCCCTGTGCCACACTCCCAAGCCCTCCACATCAGATGTTTTCTCAGAACTTCCTCGGGTGACTCCAGCACACAGCCAAACTGGAGAACCCAGTCTCGAGTCCTGGTGTTCTGCTTGGTTCTTGAGCTTTGTGTTTTTGGCATGTCAAAAATAAAAGTTTAAAAAGGAATTTCTTCTGTAGAATCTCAAGGAAAGCTACCAGTTCAAAATAAAACCCAGCTATTCTGAGCTAAAAGGAAACAGACACGGGAACACATTAGTTCACTCTGTTTGGCTTCTGATGGAACACAAGGACGCTGAGCGTCACATAAAAAGAGCATCTGCTGCACCACCCCAGCCTCCTCGGATCCTGCAGACCCTTCCCCGAGGGAGTTGTCTGATCTGGCAAAAGCAATACCCCGGCAGAGGACACTTAGCTAAGTTAGTATCACCTGGGGCATTCTTAAAGCATTCCGAGGCCTGGGCCACACCTCTACCAACTGTTAGAACACGTGAGGATCAGAATAGTAAAAAGCTCCCAAAGTACCAAGCATGACTTGGAACATCGTGATTCTAAACGTTAAAACCACTTGTTTATCTGAAATTCAAATCTAACCAAACGGAAAGTGAGCCAGGGAGGCAGAACAGAAGTCAGACTCTCCCAACCAAGGAGAGTTCTGCGATCTCTCAAGAGTGATGTCGCACTAGGAACCCTGGGCTTTCAAGCCCAGAAAAACATTTTAAAAACAAACTGGGAGTGGTGACTAAGGCCTGTAAGCTCAGAGCTCTGGAGGCGAAGGCAAGAGGCCTACCGTGATTCCAGGGCAGTCAGAGCTACAGCGTAAGACCCTGTCTCCAAAATAAAACAAAAACCTACTGCCACCACTACAAGAAACAACACATATGATCTTAGGCCAAGTTAACAAGTTTTCTCAAGTGTATTCTGGCTGAGGTGTGTGAGGCCTGGAAGCCAGTCCTGCCCTCAGAAGTCAACTTCCAGAGGCCTACAGTAAGGGTCCATGTCCATGGGGGCCTCCAAACTTGGCATTTCCTCAGGGATCCCATTCTTGCAGCCCAACAATGTGGGCCAAGCCTGTGTGTTGCCTTGACAGAAGTTCCTTCTTCCTCTGTTCCGCTGTGACACTGGCCTCTGTGGCCTCTCTGGAAACTTACACACCAGTGAAACTGGAGCCCCATACAATTTCAAGTACAAAGCAGCCCCCACAGACCAGGACTGACACTCAGTTGGCCTCTGCCCCGCTCCTGCCAGCATGACACCTGGATCAACCTTCCTACTGACACATCCTCAAGTCTCCCTACCTAGCCCTTCTCTGTCTTCCTAGACCCAGGGAATGCTCACGGAGACCTGCACCTTAAGATCAAGCCTTCCTGTCTTCCTAGTTTGGCTCACCCAGGCAGCCAGGGCAAGGCAACCCACCCGCCATCTACACAGCACAAGACAACTCTGTGCACACAATTAAAACAGATCTGCAGAGCTAAAGGCAGCACAGTGAGGGGGCTGAAAGGCCACAGCCCTGCCTCTGTCCCTTCTTTACCCCCCACTGACACCTTGCTGCTCACTAGCCTCCCCAACATCTCCAGACCTTCCTTTCTATTACACAAGATGTGCTCAAGAAAACAAGTGACAGGGGAAGACTTAAGACCATCCATGTTTATCTGCACTGGGGAAGAGGAAGCCGATCACAAACCATATAAACTGAGATGAACTGCAACAGTCCAGGTACAGCATCTATGCCCAGATGCCTCAACAAAAGATCACATTTGTAAAAAAAAATCTGGGCGGGAGGGAATGCCCACCACATATTCACAGCAAGGAAGACTAAGGTTCCCCCAGTGTTCTCCACGGGACCTCCTAGCAGCAGAGCCTGCTCTCTAGTGGGGGTCCAGGTTCAGGTGTGCCTGAGAGCTGCAAGAAGGGGCGTGGCTACCCCCCCCCACCTCCCTCCCCGAGGCGCATCTGTACACTGTTAAGATGCAGCCATGGGAACACGTGTCTCCCAGGCAATCACTCCCTTTGGCCCCCAGTGTTAACACATGCCTTGGGCACTCCACCCTTCTTCTTGGCCTTCCTTCCACCCCGAGTGAATGCTGTGCATATTTCCTGTCTTCAAAACAAACTGAAGCCAAACCAGAAAGGGGAGGTAGGAAAGCAAGGCTGGGAAGGACATGGAAAACTACAAAGGCATGGACAGAGCACACCAGCTGTAGACCTGAGTCCACTGGACCCCATGTACCTGCACCCCAGAGGGCTACCCACAAACACCCCTTCCTCCTCTGAGCTTAAAAAACCTGGGTTTGAAAGGTAGCCCGAAAGGCTGGCAAGGACACCAAATTCTGGAGAATGTAACAATTTTGTACCCACTCTCGGGGGGACGGGGGACGGGACGGACGATACATCTCCTGAGAGCGTCTGCTAACCCTTATCCACAGAGGTAGAATCATTTCATCAGTATGCTAAATGCGAGCTTCCAGTCCTTGCTGTAACTCCTGAGAGTGTCCCTCCCATAGCCAGCCCCCTCGGCGCCTCACAAAGGGGCTGCAAAGTGCACACACTGCTCACCATGGGTTGTCACCCACAGCCACGGCCCCGAGCTCACTCCTCTGCCTGTGTGAACGGTCTCCCGCACACACACCAGCACACACACACAGGGTGGTCAGAGGTACATTTACAGAGTGAGTGTGGGGTCCTGCCTGCATCTTCATCTTCAGGCAGGCCTACCCCTAGGTCCCAGGTCCAATGGCCGCTCTGCAGCCAGCCCTGGCTCAGTGTTTGATCTCCAGGATGGAGGGGTTATGGTCCAGTATAGCCAGGATAATCTTGTCCATGTACTGTCTCAGTCGGAAGTTGATCTCCTCCTGCTCCTTCAGGGCCTCCATTAGCTGAAGGGAATGAGAAAGGTGGGTCAGAGGCTGGGTCCAGGCTGGGCTTACAGTGGGCCAGTGTGACAGGGGCCCAGGTCAGCCTGAAGGTCATCAGTATCAATGACCTGAAGAGGGGCTAACACATGGGGAAATTGTCGCAAAGATTGGGAACACTGGCTGGATGTACTTATAATCAGGGCTAATGGGTACAGGCCCCGGGCCCAGAAGATGCTTGGGGCTGCTAGTCTTTCCTCTGTCCAGAATAGTGACTCCTCAGTCTAGCCCTGCCTTATTCAGTGGCTCTCACCATGACATTTAGGTGCAGCCAAACTGCTGTCCCTATAGAGTTGCCTGCTCTCCTAGATCTCCCTGAGGTCGGAGGTTGGCCCTTAGCTCTGAGTCTCAGATGGAGGCAAGATTCGGGTACACAAGGTCTGTTTTGCACTTAAATGCAGGTGAGTGTTTTGTATTTGAGGCAGAAAAGATGGCCTATAGTGTTGGGAGCAGGGCCCCTTTCCCGCCGCTAACCCTGTGGTTATTTCTACATGTCACAGGGAAGTGTTTATGAAGCTGCACGCTAAGAGACCAGGTAAACATGTGCAAAAGCAGATGTTAAAGAAATTCTGGCTACCATCCAGGTGGGTTAAGTCCAGGAGGAGTCTGACTTGAACCCGGAGCTTCTGAGGAAAGAGGTCTAAGCCCCTCCCCGAGCTGCCTCCAGCTCAGTTCTGTCATTACTGTGAGCAGGAAGCGGAGGACTATTGGGGCCAGGCCTTAGCCTACCTTTCAGATCCTCTGTAGCCTGGGGTTCATGGTCCCAGCAGATGGGGGCTAGGGACAGGACCCACAGAATGGAGACCAGACACCACTGTGAGCGTCCATGGGGATGAAGGGAAAGGCTACCTCATCGCGAGATGCCGTGTCGATTTCTGCAGCCAGAGACTGGGCTTTGGTCTGGGTGGCAAAGAGGTTCTTGGCCTCATACAGGCTGAGGCTCAGGATCTGCCCATTCAAGTCATCGTTCTGATCCCGCAGTTTGTGATTCTCCTGTGGGAACAGAGCAAGAGCACATGTGCTAAGGGAAGCACCTGGAGCCACAGAACCCAGTGCTCCCTTTCTGTGTCCTCAGGCCACCAGGATCCTCCCTCAGAGAGCCACTAATTCGGCCTGCAGTCTGGGATCTGGCTGAAGGGGTGCCATTCTGGATTCTCTGCAGGAAGGATAGTTTGTTTTCCTGGTTCCCCCTACAGCCTTAGTGGTAGCTGTTTCAAGACACACTGAAGGCAGCAGACATAGGTACCCCCTCCAATTCTTGCCTATAGCTCACCCCAGGGACCTGGGAGCCCCTCCTGGGTAGGTGAAGGGCTAGTTGTACTGCAAGAGATGGCCACTAGGACTTCTGCCTGGGTGAAGGAGCTCAGGCGTGATCCATGCCCAGACTCTGGCCCACAGGCCTGCCTGAGTTTGGGTTTCACTCCCTTCTTGAGCCACTGCCCCCTCCGGACTCCACACATAACCCAGGATGCAACAACACAGTTTTGGGATGCTATGAGAAGCAGAATACCAAGCTTAGGCCCTATCTGCCAGAGGCCCCAGCTCAGCCAAGCCTGAACCTGCAGCTCGGGGATGTCCAGGCCAGGACAGGGACCTAAAAGCCCAAGGACCATTTACTGTAACCAGAGGTAAGCCGAGCGTGGGATGGGATGACGGGCTCCGGCAATCAGGCTGCTGAGAAGAGCAGACAGGAGGTGAGCCGCTCCTCGTGGCTTCCAAACAGAGGCCCACATGGCTAACTCGGTCGTTCTTCAAAGCCCCTGGACAGTGGCTCTGCGGCCTACCTGCTTCAGACGCTTGACCTCATGCTCGAGCTCCACCTCTCTCGCTCTGGCGTTGAACTCGCCAAGGCCGGATGCGCTGCGGCCCCTACCTGGCCGCTCACAGTCCAGCTTGTACATCTGCAGGTGTTCCAGCTCCCTCCGCAAGTCCTCAATGAGCTGTGAGGGAGAGAAGCCTGTCGGCTGCAGCCGAGACAGCAAGGGGAGCCCTAGGAATCCCGACCCGTGACTCACCTCCTGCGTGGCTTCCCGCTCCTTCTGGAACTCCAGGCGATTCTGCCGCAGCTTGTCCATCATGCGCTTGTAGAGGTCCATCTCGTCCTTGAGGCGCAGGCTGGTGTCCTCCAGACGGTCAGACATGCGCTGCCGTTCCTACAGTCAGGCAGACCTTGTCAGGGTGAGCATTCCCAGAGGGCCCTAGCGCTCTGGAGGACCTTGGTGTGGCAAATGGACGGGCAGAGCAGCCACCTTGGGGGGATGCCCTCAAAGAACATTCTAGAAACATAGCAGGAAATGCCCTAGGAAATGTCCCAGATGTTTTTTCAGTGGTGTTAGGCAGAGCCTGAGAAGAAGCTGTTAGCCCAAACACCGTCTTCAAAAAAAAAAAAAAAAATCCACAATATATATAATACAGATTGTATTTTACTGTAGAAAACTTGAAATTTTGTATATTCAGAAAGTCATTATTCATGTTTTCTTCCTTTTTAATTAAAAAAATTTTTGTTTAAGACAAAACTCTTGGGGCTGGAGAGATGGCTCAGCGTTTAAGAGCATTGCCTACTCTTCCAAAGGTCCTGAGTTCAATTCCCAGCAACCACATGGTGGCTCACAACCATCTGAAATGAGATCTGATGCCCTCTTCTGGCCTGCAGGCAGACACACAGACAGAATATTGTATACATAATAAATAAATAAGTAAATATTAAAAAAAAGACAAAACTCTCATATACCCTAGGTTAGCCTAAAAGCTCATGATGTAGCAAACAATGACCCTGAAATCTTGACCTTCTTACCGTCACCGCCCGAGGGCTAGGATTGACAGGTGTGTGCCACCATACCCTGCATTTCCTTCTCCTCTGAAGTGAAACGCTTTAGTATTCCAGAGACTATGACCAAAGGCCCTCTCTGACCACCATCTCTCCGGAGTACCCCCTCATCTCGCCCGCCCCCTCCCCGCCCACCTCATCCAGTTTCTCTGTCTGTGACTTCAGTCGAGCCACCGTTGTTCTCAGATCAGTATTTTCTTCTTCTAACTGCTGCACCCTGGGAGAGAAAAACAACGCAGAGCTGAGGATCCAGAGTGGAACCGACTAGAGAGAAGGCAGCCAGTCTCTGCTTCCAGAAGAAAGAAACTACCAACTGGGAGAAAGACTGAGACAAAGTAAATATCTCACGGGATAACTCAGGTCCAGCGTCCAAAATGTTCCAAAACTTTTTGAGCAATGACATGATGACGCCACAAACCAAAATTCCGTATTATCGCAAAACTGTTTCATGTGTAAAATTATTAGCCAAGAATGATGGAGCATGCCTTAATCCCAGCACTAGCTAGGGAGGCAGAGGCAGGTGGATCTCTATTGATTTGGAGAACAGACTGGTTTACACAGCAAGTTCCAGACATGATGAGGCTATCTCAATATACATAAAAATATTATACATTATTTATTATGTTATTATATGTAAATATGTATGTAGTTACTTTCAGGCTATACGTTACTTTTTAATTTTGTATGTGTATACAGTATGTGTGCAAGGTCCTGTATGTGTGTGTACACGTGCCACATTGCAAATGTCAAGGGTCACCTTTACATTGTTTGAGATAGGATCTGTTATTGGTTTTGCCAAACCAGCTAGCCTTCCAACTTCTGAGAGTTCTCCTATCTCTGCTGCAGAACACTGGGATTACGAAAACACACAGCTGTGTTTGGTTTTATGTAAGTTCAGGGGATTCTAATTCTTCTGTGGCAAGCACTTTACCCACTGAGGATCTCCCCAGTCCCATAAGCTGTTTTAGAAACACAGGAGTGTGGGGCTGGGGGTGGCACACCCCTTTAATTCCATCACTCAGGAGGCAGAGACTGAGTCTGAGACCAACCTGGTCTACAGAGTGAGCCCCAGAACAGCCAGGGTTAAACAGAGAAACCTTGTCTCAAAAAACCAAGAAAGGGGAGGGGAGGAAAGAAAGAGAAAAGAATTTCATATTTAGATAGGGTCCGATCTCTAAGATATGTATAAATGAATATGTATTTCAAAATCTAAAAATTTATGAAATCTGCTCTCCACACACATGCATACATGTGAACACACATATGCACACACAAAAGATCCTTCATGAAACAATGGGGAAACGGGTTTCCTCTAGGTGGAGGAGCAGTCCTCCTACGTCTGGTATACCCGGGCTGCTTCTGCTAACATGTGCCATCTGAAGGCTATGACCATATCTGCTCTCTGGTCTCCATCCCCAAACCTGTCGGGAATCCCGAGAGCTCGCTGCAGCCATCTCTGCTTCAGAGACAATAATCCTCTCCTGGAGCATTTGTGACAGTAATCTTGCAGGGACTCCCGGGGGGACTGCACTCAGGTAGGTCCCTAGGCAGGTGAGAGGGCTCCTGGAACTGTGTGTAACCATCTCTCATTCTTGCTCCACCCCAGGTGTTGCCCCATTCTGGAGAGGTTTTCCTTGACCTTCATGAGGCCCTGGGCAGTACCCTAAGGAGGCCTCCAGACAGGGCCAGAGGAGTCTGGATCTCCACGGTAAGTGGCATGGAGCTGGCAAGCAGTAAGGAGGGGAGTATAAGCCAGTGACTGGAAGTACCATCCATGCCTCCACACGGAGCTGAGTTAGACTACTCAGAACCTGATGTTCTGTGTGCCTGCTTCAGGCCCTGCCCACATGGTCTTCCTGCCTCTGCCTCTCTGGTCCCAGCTACCCCTCTCTTGAGTTTGTAGTCACGAAAGCAGGGGTACTGAAGAGAAAAGTCCTTAGGACACCAGCCTCAGAGCCATATGCAAATAGTAACCTGCAGATCACGACCCCTTTGGAGGCTGTTTATAGCATCTCCTGCACATCAGATAAAGTAGGATCTATACATCAGCAGAATGACAGTTACAAAGTAGCGATGAGATAATTTTATGGTTGGGGGTCACCACAACATAAGGAACTGCAGTAAAGGGTTACAACATTACAAAGGCTAAGAACCACTGTCCTAGAATACCAGTTCAGGTTTCACACGGGAAACCCCTGGGAAGGTGTTTGGAAGGGGTGAGGAGTCTCAGGCACAGGAGAGCTGGGAGGTCTCCTCACCAAACTGCACCACGTTAGGAATCACCCAAACCCCTTGGGACTGCCTGGCCCAGTCCTTGTCCAGCTACCCCTCCCTCAACCCAGGTTGGGCTTAGAAACTTCTCCTTAAATACCTGGGACCCTAGGAGAACCAGGGCAGGTCACAGCCGCATTACAGTTAGAGTCTGTGATGTGGGCCAGGCAGGGAGAGGGAGACGGGGATCACACAGTAGGAAAAGCCAATGTGGCCAGGGCCAGTGGTGCTCTTCCTGATCCTGGCTTGGTGTGGTTCCAGCAAGGAAGGATACAGCTGGCCACAGAACCCAGGGACCTGGTTTTCTACTTCTCTAAGTCCAGAGTCCCAGGCTCAGTTTACCTATGTTACCTAGGATCTGACAGCAGGGGGAGCTCCAGGCCTAGACCTGGGCCCCTGCCTTCTGCTCAATGACCAGGCTCCTATGAACAGCATCCTGCCTGCTCCCTCAAAAACGGGCCTGCGTAGTTTTAGTATCTGAGGCAGAAATGCTAGAGTGGTAGGCTCAGTTTACTGAAAACACATGGAACCAGCGCTACCCAAGGGCTGCCAGGGCAGCGGGGCGCAGCGGGCACAAGGCCTGGCGCCTACCTGGTGTTGAGCAGCTCCAGCTCCGTGTTCTTCTCCCGCTCCAGCTTGCAGTAGACCTCACGATGTCGTCGCGCCTCCTCCTCCAGTGCCTGCTCTGCTGTGGTCTCCTGATCCTTCACCATCTCCTCCAGCTCATGCACCCTGAGGTGGGCACAAACAACTCCAGTCAGGGCAAGCTCTCACCCACTCTCACTGTATTCAAGAAGGCCTGGACCCCGCCGAAGGCCCTCATATATCCCTGTGATGTGGGCCATGAGCTTGGCTGACAGGTAAATCAGGGACATCTGAGAAGTGTGTCAATCATACTGGAGGGAGAAGCAGATCCAGTGGAGACGCTCCAGAGGGGAGTGAGGCCACAACAGTGAAGACAGCAGGCCTGGCCACAGCTACACAACGGCTCCTAGGTCTTACTCTCTCTTTTCTGCTGACTTCCTGCCCAGCACCCCTCTGACGACTTAGGCATGTGGCTGTAAGAAATCCAGAGCCAGGTAAAGGCCAGGTCCCCTGGAGTCATAGCCCAAGCCTGACTACTGGAAGCCTAGAGTTGTCCAACTGCTCACAGTCCGTCCACCAGGCTGAGCTGGGGCATACGAAAAGGCTATGGTGTGGGACCCGGACCCAGAGAAGTCTACCAAGTTTCTTGCCCCTGTGGAAGCCAGCCAGCATGGGAGAGCATCCCTCCCAGGGACCCTGGTGTCCATCTATACCACCAACACCAGGCCACACGCAGTACCACCTGGGTCCTTCTGCCTTCCATTCCCCACCACAGGGCGTGTTCCCAGGAAGGAAGCCAGGCTCTAGTCACTGTAGTCCAGTGGTTCTCAACCCTCCTAATGCTGTGACCCTCTAATACAGTCCCTCATATGCTGTGGTGACCCCCACCATAAAATTATTTCGTTGCTACTTCATTACTGTAATTTCGCTATTGTCATGGATCATTAATATGCAGGAGATCTGATATGCGACCCCAAAGGGGTCAAGACCTACGGGTTAAGAACCTCTGCTCTTATGCAGCGAGAACCACATGTCCTGGGCTGTGCACTGAGCACAGACTCTATCGGGTCTGGAATCGAGGCTAAGTGCCTCTGAGTCAGAAAGACTTGAGGCTTCTCTGCCAGCAGTGGTGACAACTCCCCCTTCCCCAGAGCCACCTTCCACCAGACCTGTGCACCAGCTGCATATTCTCCTGTTTCAGCTTGCTCTTCAGGTCCCCACTGGTCAGGCTATCATTCTCCAGCTCTGTCACCTTCTTTTCTAGGAAGCTCACCTGCAGCGTGAGGGGTAAAACATTAGAAAAGGCGTTCAAAGCCAGAGAACTGACAATCTAGGAAAGCTTGTGACAAAGATCCCCAAGTGAACGAGGCTAAAAGAGCAGTCACATCTGGAGAGAAGGGGGCGTGTGATCAGGGCCCTTCCCCACCCTGAGTGCCCAGGTGGACCCAGGGTCCACCCCCACTCATCCCAGGAATGCGCAGAGGGCCCCAGGGCTCACCTTCTCCGTGATGTCATTGTCGCAAGAGTCGATGCTGTCCCGGAACAGGTCCTCGGTGCTGCCGTTACTGCTGCTGAAGTTACTGTTGTGCATGAGCTGCCTGTTGGGGCGGAGGGCACCTGTCTGCCAAGTCTGCCAGAGTCTGGGGCCCCAACTCAGGCTATGGGCCGGGTGAGTATTTGGTACTGGGGCTGCCAAGAAGGAGGTCACAGGAGGAACGCTCCACCTGCCCTTTCCACCCAGATGACAGTCTACTCTAAGGATGGTGGACAGGGCAATTCCCCAAGCCCAGGTCCTCTGTGGAAGGGAAGGCACCAACAGCCATGGGCTGGACTATGGTCCTCAGAGCACCCGAGAAAAGCCACTAAAGCTGAAGCAGTGAGGACCTACAGATGCTGGCTCTGCAGGAAAGCAGCTGAGGATGGCCTCACGGCAGCCTGCTCGCTTGGCTAACAGCGTGCACAGGCTGAATCTGGGCTGCCACCACGGAGCCCTGGCCCCAGGACAGCAGAAGTGAGGGAGGAAAGCACCCAGCTCCTTGTCGCCCAGGAGGGTCTTACCGTCCGAAAGCTGTACTTGAGATCTTCCGGTTGGGGCTAGAGAAAGAGGGGACACAGTCACTGAGAAGATGGACACTGGGTACCGAGGGGCATCATTCATCAGTGTGGTATCAATGTGCTGCCGTGAACGCCCAGCCCTGCTCGGACACCCACATACCTGCCCACACAGAGTCTGCCTTGCTAGCCCCGCCTCTCTGGGCTGCGGCCTCACCTGTTGGCCTTTAGGTTTTTCAGCCGGGCCTCCAGGTCATTCAGCAGGTTGATCTTCTTGCAGCACTGAGAGCAGTACACGTCCAGCAGCTCACTGTTGTAGGCATGGCGCATCTTCCTTGGGGTCTGCCCCGCACTGCACCGGAGGAGAGGGTGTCACTCTACGCTGCTGGCAGGCTGTGCCCTGCCCGTCCTGCTGCGCTTGCTCTATCTACTTCCCCAAGGCTTTTATTTCTACTTTGGGATAGAGGAATGGAAATAAACCAGAGAACCCCGTCCCCGCGGTTGTCAGAGAAAGCTGGGAGAAACGAGCCCAGTTAACAGATAAGGCATACTGAGAGCTAATGTCACAGGAAGGAATGACTTGGGCAGGTGAGAAGGGGCCACAGAGGGTCACTTGGAAGGCCTTTAGTATAGAGGTACTAGGAAGCACGGTGACATAGACACCTCCCAGGATCTGCAGACTCATAGACCAGTTAACTGTTTGTTCCCCAAGATAAAAGGGGAAAGGGCAAACCTGACCCCAGGATAGGAGAAGGTGGCACCCCCACATGCCAATAGAGCCACGTAGCCCTGGACAGAGGGAAGGATGATGTTTGTCTGTCTGACCCACTGGGGTGAGTCTAGACTGGTTCTGCCATTTTCCCTGGATTCCAAATGCTACCCCAGAGCAAGGGGGCCACCTGGAAGACACTGACGATCCTAGATCTGAGTAGACGTTGGTTCTGGTCTCGTCATCGGGGCAGGGGCTGCTGGGAGCACAGTCCACGTCATCCCCCTCTCCGTAGTCTTCGAACTGCTCCTCGTTGCTGATGAGAGAGGCGGTGGAGTGAGTGGAAAGGTCTGATGTGGTCATGGATGGAGTGAGGACCAGGGACCTGAGGGCCGTAAGCACCCAGTTAGTGAAGGGCAAAGAGCAGCCTGGCCCTACACACAGCGGGAGCCTGGCCAAGTCTAGATCTTTGGACCTTGAGGACCTCATCCTAAGGGGAACATCCACATGTTCCAGAAATTTCCACCATAAGAAACAACAAAATACTGGTTATTACTTGATGATTAAGCAACAGATAGATTAAAATTGCACTATAATTATAGTTAGAGTAATAGAATTTGTACCAGTGATTCAAATTATTAAATTATAGAGTATCAAATGATTGTTGAAAGGCTTATGCAAATATTGGCAAGAAAGTAGAGAAATAAGTATCAATGATAAGTTAGACAAGCTTTGAGACTTAGTAATTAATAAAATTAATTATTTTGTGACAGGGTTTTACTATGCTGGCAATGATGGCGCAAGCCTTTAATTTTAGAACTCAGGAGACAGAGGCAAGTAGATCTTTAAAAATGTAAGACCAGCCTGGTCTACACAGAGCATTCAGGCCAGCCAGGGCTACATAGCAACCCCCTGTCTTTAAAAAAAAAAAAAGAAAAGAAAAGAAAAGTGGTTAAGAGCACTGACTGCTCTTCCAGAGGTCCTCAGTTCAATTCCCAGCAACCACATGGTGGCTCACAGCCATCTGTAATGAGGTCTGGTGTTCCCTTCTGGTATGCAGGCATACATGGAAGGAATGTTGTATACATAATAAATAAATAAATCTTTTTAAAAAAGTAGAAAATACAAGCAGTATCATGGTAAACAGGCTTGGGTAAGGGTGCTGGCTGTTTTCTCCCATTCCACTTTTTCCAACTTTTAACTATCTCTTAATTTCTAAAAATTTATTTATTATTACTATTAGTGTGTGCATTCATGTGTCTGTGTGCACATGTGTGCATGCAGACATCCCTGCGCAACAGCCCATGTGTGGAGTCAGGGGAAAGCAGACTCTTCCAGGCCAGCTGGCCTGCTCGATGCTCCTGACTTTCTGAAGGAGCGCTGCGGTTACAGATGCTCACTGCCGTTAAAGATGCGCACTGCGGTTACAGATGCTCACGGCTTTGTATACTAGTTCTATACTCAGGTCATCTGTCATCTGGCAAGCACCTTCACCCACTGAGTCAGCTCTCTAGCCCGCATTATCTTTATCACAACAAGCAACAATGAGCTACCAGATGAGAATCAGCCCCCCATTTATAAGGAGCATTTCTAGCCCAAAGATTCCTACTTCTAAAGAATATCTGTCAAAGACGCCAGACTCGAGGGCAATGGTCCTCAGCCTTCCTAATCTGTGGCCCTTTAATACAGTTCCTCATGTTGTGGTGACCCCAACCATAAAATTATTTTCATTACAACTTCATAACTGTAATTTTGCTACTGTTATGAATTATAATGTAAATACCTGATATGTAGGGCATCTGATATGTGACCCCTGTCAAAGGGTCATTTGACAACCCAGGGGAAGCAACCACAGATTGGGAACCACTGCTCTGGGACCTCTCATGGGTAACCCATATGATTTAGGGAAGCTTGGTTGGCTGGGGCTATCTATGAGCTGAGAGCAAAGAGAGGCTCAGCCCAGAACCTGCCTGAGTCCTCTTCCCAGTCACAGTAAACACTTCCTCATCCACAGATCATGACTTCCCCAGCTCAGGATCAGTGTTCGTTCCCAAAGCTTGGCTCCAGGGAACCCCGGCTTCTGTTTAAGGATCACAGCACTAAAGACAGGGTATTAAGGATTAAGTCCTTAGTTCCAACCTGCATTTTATTTATTCACACTTTGTCTCCCCTCGGGGTCCTCTGTATCTCAGGCTGAATGGCTCACAATGCTCTCTTTCCCCAATAAATGTTGGTAAAACTTCAGCAGGGCTGGGGAGATGGCAACAGGTAAGAGAACATATTGCTCTTAAGAGGAGCTAATTTCAGGCCCAGCATTCGAAAATGCCCCCCTATAGACTCACAGACACCCTCTTTGGGCCTCTATTTATCCAACACACACACTGAGAAAAAATCAAATAAATTTTTTTTTTCAAGGTAGGATTTCTCTGTAGCTTTGGAGCCTGTCCTGGAACTTGTCCTGAAACTCTTGTAGACCAGTCTGACCTTGAACTCACAGAGATCCACCTACCTCTGCCTCCCGAGTACTGGGATTAAAGGCATGTGCCACCACTGCCCAGTCTAATAAAAAATACTCTTAAACACACACAATTTAGGTGGTTCAATTATGGAAGTTAATTTTTTAATGAGGTTTGAGATGATTAAAAGTTGGCAATTTGTGCAGCAGTGGTGGTGCACACCTTTAATCCCAACAGTCAGGAGGCACAGGCAGGAGGGCGGACCTCTTGAGTTTGAGACCAACCTGGTCTCAGAGTGAGTTACAGGACAGCCAGGACTACACAGAGAAATCTTGTCTTGAAAAACCAAACCACACCAAATCAAAAATTGGCAATTTCATGTGGCTCAAAGCCACTACGAGAACTCCTTGCTTGCTCCCCTTCTCCCCTTCCTCCCTCCCACCCCCTCAAAGAGATTCCTTTCTGCTGACACCAAACTGAACATAGGTACTGCTCTCTGCCGAGAAGCTAGGCAAGTGTCCACCATCTCCTTCCTCTTCCCAGAGATGGGGCTTGAACTGAAGGCTTTGGCAATGCAAGACATTGCTCTACCAGAGAGTTACAGATATAGACCAGTCCACTCAGACCTTACTACTGTTTTAAAACACTTCCGATGAGTGCATATCATCAATGTTGAAATACAGACTATGGACAGCAACGGAAATGATAAACCACCCACCTCCCAGAAATCACCACTGCTCAGTTTCTAAGATCATTTTCCCAGGCATATCCTACGACATCTTTTTAAAGCAGTGCTGGAATCACATGATAAGTTAGGTGCTCTTCTCTACCACTAAGCTACCCCTTGGCCCTAACCTGCTTTTTGAAACTAAACGAGTTCATATACCCCACATTCACTGAGAAACCATTAGAAGTAGAGTTCTGAGAGCCACACGTGGTGATGCTCGCCTTTAATTCCAGAAGACAGAGGCAGGCAGATCTCTGTGTGTTCAAGGCCAGCTTGGTCTACACGGCAAGTTCTAAGGCCATCAGGGATACATGCTGAGACCTTGTCTCCAACTCCCTGGCCCCACCAAAGAAAGCTAACGTTTGCACAGTGGCCTGCAATTCTAGAATCATCCCTACTATCCAGAAACCTGGGGCAGTAACAACTTCAGTGCCATCCTGACAAGGTGTGCCATGTACTTGCTGGAGAGCCTTCCAAGAACCGCACTTCTGGCCCTGGGGCCCCATGCCGTTCTGCTCACTCACTTGTCCTCTGGCAGGAACAGACCTCCCAGCTCAGGCTCCTTCTCATCGCCAGGGCTCCTGCCAGAACCCTCCAGGCCCTGGCTGCTCTCCATGGGGGTGTCCATTTCTAACTCCTGGGGTCCCTCAGGCAGGGCCAGTGTCATTGCTTCCTCCTCGTCTTCCTGGAAGAAGCCGGGTTCCCTGGGGAGGAGCTCGCCATCAGCAAACGTAGAGCTGGAGATGTCGCTGGCCTGGCAAACACAGAAGGACAGAATGAGAGAGGTTGGCTCCCTGGGACTCAATACTCTGGTCCATAAGGACATCTGTAGGGACCGGGAGGCAGGAGGGCCAAGAACTGGAGCGGCTAGATATAAGGATGTCTGGTTAGCCGTGAGGGCTTCTCCTGGCAGCTGACTCCTGAGAGTACAGTAAGGGGCTTGTCTCCCAGGCAGAGCCCCCATCACAGCCTGCACAGGATCCGTACTGTGGGTAGACCCACCCTAGTCAGCTGTCAGGGACAACCCTGACCTCCCAGGAGGAGCCTGAGGCAAGACAGTGCAGAGAAATCTAGGTGCTCCTCCAAGACCCTGCACAGCCGGAGAACCTCAGCACCTCTTCTGTAAACCAAGATGGCCATGGGATTTCATGCAGGCCTTCAAGCCCAGCACTCGGAAGGAAGAAGAAAGATCTGTTCTCTGTGAGTTTGAGGTCAGCCTGGTCTACATAGTGAGTTCAAGGCCAGCCAAAGCTACGCAGTGAGTGTAGGATAAAAAGTCTGAACTCACTTCTGGGTTTGGAGACCCACCAATCCCTGAGCTTGAAATCCCACCAACCCTTGAGCTCCCCGCAAGCTCGGGACTTGAAATCCCATCAATCCCCACCCTGAAATCTCCACCCTGGAAAACTGTTCCTCCAAAAAAACTATATAAGCCTGCCTCCCACTTAGTTCTTGCTGCTTTTCCCCTGAGCAGAGACCAGAGACACCCTCTTGTGTCTTCCCAATAAATCTCTTGTGTGAGGTTTGCTGTGCAGTGTGACTTTGTGGTAGTCCTTGGTTTCCAACTGCCAGGATACCTTTCCCCCTCAAAGCTGCAACATTTACAGTGAGGTCCTGTCTCAAAAAGCAAGCAAACGAATGGCAATGGACCCTTACAGGACCTCTGCGTCCACTATTCCCTGTTTGCCTGTGGCACATAGTGGGCACTCCCAGCACTTGGAAGAAAAGGAAGAAGGATTGCTATAAGTCTGAAGTTAGCATAACCTACATACTAAGTCCTAGGCGGGACAGGACTTTATGGTGATATCACGTTTCACAAGAAAGAAAATGGTAACAATTTCTGTTACTTATTTTTTTGCCAGAAGCCATGTTGCCGGCAGTTGTATAGCAGATATACTCTCCATCTCCCAAGTAACCTCTTTAAGTCAGAAAGTAAACAACTCAAAACAGTTTCAGGAACTCCCTGAAACTGACCAGATTCTCTAGGCCCCTCACTCCCAAGACAGTGGGCAGACAAGCCAAGCTCCAACAAGTAGAGACCAGTCAAGCAGCCTGAAAGAAACAGAGACCATGGAGCTGCCTGGAAGAGGCTTAGGCCAACCAAGGCCCCTGGAAAGGACACTGTCCACCTACTGAGCTGCCTTGTAGGCTGTGCAGTATGCTCCAGGTTCCCAGATTTTGTGGGGTGGATTTTTTGGGGTAAGTAGCCCCAATAAAACTCGTTGGTTCACTAGATGGACTTTGCTAGCATCCGTCACGGGCCCCCTATTTAGAGTGAGTAGACAGGAGCAGTCTGTCACACACCAGCCACGAGCTCCCACTTCTGGGCCTGAGATGGTCGGGCCAATGCCTAGAATACACTTTACAGGCTGCTGATATGCTACAAGATTTGTCTGCACCCCTTGCTGACATCACCTTAGAGAAGAGTTTAGGCTGAGCTTCCTTACCTAAACTTGAGGGGCGGCCTCAGGAAACCATCTCCTGGCTTCTGAGTAGGTGGGCACTCCCTGGGGCTCTGCTGCTGCCTGTCCTACCGTACGCTCTATGTCTAGGGCTGACGGAGAACTCTACTAAAAACGTTTCCCTTGTATACCAGGGCTACCAGGGGGCCAGAGGCAGAGCCTTGAAAGTCTTGAAAAATGCCCACAAGAAAAGGTTACAAGACACTAGAGGAAGCCACTTGGAGACAGGCTGAGCCTATCTCGAGAAAACCTGGGGGCTACGAAGAGAAGGTGATTAACAAACTTGGTTCCTCCCTGTGCCAAAACTCAGCCGAACACAGATGAAATTAGTGCCGGGCAATCCCGTTGGTAAAGATCAAGGGATGTTTGCAGGTCTTTCCCACCCACGCATTCTGATCCATCGCACATGGCTCCTAACTCATCAAAGCCCTCTCTCAGCACGCACAAGCCCACCCCAAACAGTGGAGACCAATGCTATGGAACAACCGTAGTACGCCAGAGCCCGGGCAGAGTTCGTGCTGTCCTACTTTTGCTTGGGACAGCTCTCCAGGGCGGCTGTCTAGTCCTGTTTTACTGATGGAGACACGGGAGTTCAAAGAGTAGCCTGCCAGAGATCTCTGTCTGGTAGAGTGGGCAGAGGGCCCGGGCTGCTTCTGGCTGCCACACAGTTTCCTTTATCACTGCTGCCTTCACACTCCACTGGCTTTCAGATCTGGGTGTGACAGGAGGGTGAGTCACTCTCTAGGAACTAGATGCTACCAAGATGCCTGGGGCCCCTCCTAACGTGACATTCCGGCGGTTCCACGCGCACACTGCCGCCCCCACGGGAGAGGTTGCTTAGCACAAAGACACTCATGGGGGTAGGAGGGGGTGGCCCATCCCCCAAGGGAGCAGCACGAGTACTCTATGCCATTGCGCGCTACGAGGACCTGTAAAGTCCACCTGACAGATAGGCAGTCGAGGTGAGCATGTGACAATTGCCAGGAATGCCATTTGTCCAGCCACAGGTTGCACCTGACCTTCACCTCAGTCCCAGGCCTACCCCTTCCACACCCTTTCTAGATGACAGGCTTCACCTGGGAACCTAGGTGTCCTGTCTCACTGAGCCCAAGGCACACCGGAGCTCACCCAGCATCCCACCCCAAGGCAGCATTGTGACCAACACTCAGGCAAGCCACACTAGCTCCTGACAGGGTGGGAAAAGTGGCCTCAATGGGGCTATCTCCGTCACACGACAGAAGAAATGCCCCAAACATCCCTCATGCCCCAAGACCAGACCACCCTCCTTCTGGGCAGACTTTTGAGGGGAGCACACATCTGACTGCCCATCACCTCTCACCAAGCACTCTGTCCCACAGCAGCCCCGCGAGGGTGGCATGAGGTATACAGGACACGCATGCCCGTTCCTGTCTCATCTAATGCCCGAGAAAGACGAGGTTCAAGGAGGCAGGTGGCTGCTGAAGCAGCCAGCTTACAAAGGGCCCTGCTCAGATCTGAAGCCAAGGCTCAGGCGTGCCAAGTCTGGAGCTCCATCAGCCGCCTAGCTCTGTGTCCACAGGTGTATGCCCACACACCCACTCAACAACATTTTCCTCTAAAATTAACGTCCTCCTTTATTAACACCCTCTTTTCATTCAATCCACAATTGTTTGCCTAAGGCAAGTGGAAATTTTAATTACAGCTTCAAAACCAATTCTTGCAGCTTCCCCCCCCCCCAAATTAAAGTAATAGAAAGCAGTGAGAAAAGAGACCAAACAGGATGGGGCTGGTCCAGGTCTGTCCCCAAGCAGACCCTCCTCACCAGGCAGACCAGGCCCCTGGGAAGGGTGAGAAAGCGCTGGGCCGGAAGCTCCCACCCAGAACACCTGAAGGAAGGGAAGCAGTTCTGGGAGGCAGAGAAGAGGCCTCTGACCCCCAACCTGTGCCCCTTCCTCTCAGGCAGGGAGAACAAGACACAGGAACCCACCTGAGTCAGTGATACTCCTTTAGCATTATTAAGTTACATAGGGAAGGGACGCTCTCCCTGGCAAGACCACCCTCAAAGAGAAACCTGTTCCGTACGACTCGGGCAGAGGCGGCCTTGCTGTGTATTGGAGAGCTTTGGGGACTATGTAGGAGCTGAGGACGAATTGCCTGGGGGATGCTATGGAAATTCTACTCAGGCTGACGCAAGATGTGGGCCTCGGTCCTGAACTAATCAAGGCTGGTTTCAGCAGCCCCCAGGTGGCCAGAGTCTCTCCCCAAAGTACTCTCTGTAGTGAGACAGAAGACAATGCTGTCATCATCCCACCTGATCACCACGCTGGCTGGAGACGCAGAAAGTAGACATCCTCACCCTGCATCCCTCATGGTGCCCAGGACCTGCCCAGAGGGCTGGCAGGGCAGGACATGGGCAACCCAGGAGGCTGAGTTTCCAGAGTTTATGGTTCTGAGACTCTAGTTTCCAGAACTCTCCTTTCTTGTCCTGATCACCAATATGTAGGGGGAGAGAGAGACAGACAGACTGACAGACAGACAAATACTACACAAGAGCATCCAGTCATCATACTGCCCCAGCAGCCAGTATAGGTCCCCAAGCCTGGGGCTTATGCAGCCTCCTCAGAGTCTGTACGGAAAGGTTGTCTGGTCTTTAAGAAGCTTCAGGAGGGCAGGATCCTCAGCAGGCAATGTGGCTCTGTCTGTGGCCCTATCGTTTCCCAGGGCTCTGTCCCTGAGGACAAAGAGGTGACTTTAAGCACAGAGCTCGTGTCCATAACACCATGGCTTGTTTGTGTCCAAACAATCTCAGGGAACCCTTCTTTCCCAGCCTCGGGGTCAGAGGCGGATGGAAGAGAAAGTAGATGCAGTATGCCACTGGGTAAGCAAGCCCTGGGGAACCCGTGCGGCAGGACCAGTGGAGAGCACAGCTCTGAAGCCTGGCAAATCAGTCCTAGTAGACCATCTCTGTGTTCCCGGGATTTCCCCTAGGAACAGGGACTGTCATTTCTGCCCGAGAGGCTGTATGGCAGTCAGCAGCTGTGGGAGGCTCTGTATTCAGAGCCTAGATTGTCCCACCCGCCATGGGTCCTTGGCTGGTCAGCTAGCAAGATCCTGAGATATATACTTGTTTGGGCCCAGTGGCTAATCCAAGGGCAGGGAATGCTGGAGACAGTACTATACCCAAGCCCAGGGAAACAGGACCCAGCCGGCTGCACTCCCTCCCTCCCCCCGGCCCCCACCACCACCCCAAGTATCTCCACCTCCACTTTTCCACTTTGTCCTCATCTGGGGCGGGACAGAACTGGCCCCAGCT